AAGGATTATACTCAGTTTTGCTGGGTAGTTGATTCTTGGTTGTAATCCTATCTCCTTTGACATCCAGAATATCATATTCCAACCCCTCTGACCCCTTAATATAGAAGCTGCTAAATTTTGTATTATCCTGATTGTGTTTCCACAATACTTGAATTGTTTCTTTCTGGCTGCTTGCAATATTTTCTCCTTGACCTGGGAACTCTGGAATTTGGCTATAATATTCCTAGGAATTTTCCTTTGAGGATTTCTTTCAGATGATCAGTATATTATTTCAATTTCTAGATTGCCCTCTTGTTCTAGAATATCAGGGCAGTTTTCCTTGATAATTTCTTGAAAGATGATGTCTAGGCTATTTTTTAATCATGGTTTTCAGGTAGTCCAATAATTTTTAAATTATCTCTCCTGGATCTATTTTCCAGATAAGTTGTTTTTCTAATGAGATATCTCACATTGCCTTTTATTTTTTCATTCTTTTGGTTTTGCTTTATAATTTCCTGGTTTCTCATAGAGTCATTAGCTTCTATTTGCTCCATTCTAATTTTTAAATAATTATTTTCTTCAGTGAGCTTTTGGACCTCCTTTTTCATTTGGCCAATTCTGCTTTTGAAGGCATTCTTCTCCTCATTGGCTTTTAGACTACTTTTGCCATTTGGGTTAGTCTATTTCTAAGGTGTTACTTTCTTCAGTATTTTTTTGGGTCTCCTTTAGCAAGCTGTTGACTTGTTTTTCATGATTTTCTTGCATCACTCTCATTTCTTGTCCCAATTTTTCCTCTACTTCTCTTACTTTATTTTCAAAATTCTTTTTGAGTTCTTCCATGGCCTGAGACCAATTCATATTTTTCTTAGAGGCTTTGGATGTACAAGCTTTGGCTTTGTTGTCTTGAGATGTTTTGATGTTTTGATCTTCTTTGTCACTAAAGTAAGATTCTGTAGTCTGAGTTTTTTTCCTCTGATTGCTCATGTTACCAGAATTACTTAACTTTTTAACTCTTTGTTTAGGTAGGGTTCTGCTTCCAGTGTGGAGGGTGTACTGTCCCAAGCTTCAGGGGTTTTGTGCAACTGTTTTCTGAGATACTTCTAGGGACCTCAAATCTAGTCTTATAAACTTACTAGCTATGTGATGCTATTCAAGTGATTTAACATCTATTTGCCTCATTTTTCTCAGGTGTAAAATGGGGATAATAACACCTAGTTTGCTGAGTTGTTGCAATGATCAAATGAGACAATAATTACAAAGTGTTTAGCACAGTGCCTTGCCCATAGTAAGCACTGTATCAATGTTAATTATTTTTTATTATTATTATCTTTTCTTAGTTATAAAGTCACATCATTGCAACTAGGTGGCACAGTAGGTAGAGCACTGGGCTTGGAATTAGGAAGACTCATCTTCCTGAGTTTATATATGGCCTCAGATACTTAATAGCTGTGTGATCCTGGACAGGTCACTTACCCCTGTTTGCCACACTTCGTCATCTGTAAAATTACCTGGAGAAGGAAATGGTAAGCCAGTGTCTTTGCCAAGAAAAGCCCAAAATGGGGTCACAAAGTTTAAACACGACTGAAACAACTGAACAACAAAAATCATATCACTGTTCCATTTAAAACCCATCAGTGGTTCCTTATTGAATAAAGTTCAAATTTCTTTGTCTAGCGTTGAAGGTTCTTCCTTGTAAGTCTCATCATACTTTCTTCATATGTCTCTTGTGAATTTATGTATTACTTTGTAATATAGTTATTTGTGTTTTGTCATATTTCCCAAATAAACTATATACTACATGAGGTCAGGAACCCTGTTTCATTCAAATTTCATATTTCACCACAGTAGGTGCTTAATAAATATTTGCTGATAAATTGAAGTAATGTCTTCTTTAGGTCCATAGCTGATATAATTACAATGATAGTGGTAGAAATAATATAGGTAATAAGAATACTAGAGCTGTACTAAGTTCCTTAAAATCCAACAAAAATGGGATTACCTTAGGGAAAAGGATAGAGCAGAGAATGAACAGGTTTCTAGAGCCATCTAGGGCTTGTTTTCCCAAGCATTTGTGCTGAGACTGAATTTTTGTCAGTTCAGGGACTTCGAGTCTATACAGACCAATAGAAACACCCTCATCTTCCCTTTTTATCCCATTTCCCTCTCTTGCCTCTTCTTCTTACACTGTTGACATTCTGTACTTGAAGTAAATCTTGATCTGTAACTCCAGAAAGACACACAAAGAGAGAAACAGTAGATCTGTCTTCCTTGCAGTCCATTAGGTAAGATACAAGCTTGGAAGTGTCAGATTTTTTACCTGTGAATTCTGATCGATTCAAATTGGAAAGAGTTAGTTCTTAGGATCAAGGAAGATGCTTGACACTTGCTCTAGAGCAGACAATCTTAACCTTTGAGATCCAGGTAGATTTTAAGGAGTCTAGAGTCTATGTATTTATAGATTAGAGATAGATATGTGTGTGTCTGTGTATCTGTGTGTGTGAGAGAGAGAGAAACAGAGAGAATATAAATGATACATGTATAGAAAGAGATAGAGGAGAGAAAAACAAAGATAGAGCCAGATAGATTGAAAGATAGCTGATATAGGGATAGATAGATAGATAATAGAAATAAAGATGATAGTGATAGAGAGAAATAGAGACATAAAAGATATAGATTGAGATATAGAATAGATGGTGTAGACATCGATTCAGATAAATAGCAATAGATAGAGATAGATTATATAGTGGTATGGAAAGACAGAGGTCTGAGGGGATGCCCATCAATTCGGGCTGAACAAATTGTGGTATGCAATCATAATGGAATACGATTGTGCTATAAGAAATAATAAGCAGGATGCTCTTAGAAAAACCTGGAAAGATTTATGAACTAATGCAAAGTGAAATATACTTTGTACAAAGTAACGGCAATATCTGAAAATAATCAGTTGTGATTGACTTAGCTATTCTCAGCAATACAATGATCCAAGACAACTCTGAAGGACTTATGTTGAAAAATGCTATCCATCACCAGAGAAAAAACTGATGGTGTCTGAATACAGATTGAAGCATACTTTCTTTACTTTTTTATTTTTCATGAGTTTTGTTTTGTCTTTTGTTTTGGTCTATGTTTTCTTTCACAGCATTACTATTATGAAAATGTTTTGCATGACTACATATGTATAACCTATATTGAAATGCCTGCCTTGTCAATGGGGGAGGGAGGAAGGGAGAGAATTTGGAACTCAAAGTTTTAAAAACGAATGTTAAAAAGTGTTGCTACATGTAACTAGAGAAAGATAAAATGCTGAATAAGAGGGGCAGCTAGGTGGTGCAGTGGATAGAGTAG